TCATCTAAACTGACCACTCTCCAAGTTCAAATCCAAGTTAAACCAGTGGTCACTTTGGATGAGCTATTACCAGCAGGAGAGTGAGTTTGTGTTTTTGCGGGGTGTGTGTGTGTGTGTGTGTGTGTGAGAGAGAACCTGGATTTGTGCTGGAAGTGGCCCACCTTGATTATCATACACATTGTAGGGAGAGTGGTCACTTTGGATGGGTTATTACCAGCAGGAGAGTGAGTTTGTGGGGGGGGGGGGGGCGGAGGGTGAGAAAACCTGGATTTGTGCTGGAAATGGCCCAACTTGATTATCATAATACACATTGTAAGGAGAGTGATCGCTTTAGATAAGCTATTACCAGCAGGAGAGTGGGGTGGGAGGAGGTATTGTTTCATGGTCTCTGTGTATATAATGTCTGCTGCAGTTTCCACAGTATGCATCCGATGAAGTGAGCTGTAGCTCACGAAAGCTTATGCTCAAATAAATTGGTTAGTCTCTAAGGTGCCACAAGTACTCCTTAACTTTTTCTAAGATCACTATGAATGTCTCCCCATGTGCTGGCCTGTAGGAGGTGCTCAGAGAATGATGCACTAGGCATCTAATTTCCACCAGTCCTGAGAGTGGTGATCGAGGCAGCACTGTAGTGAAGTAAGCTAAATGTACTCATAAAACATCCTCACAGTAAGAAAATCTCACTGGAGAGAAATCTCTGGTCTGTGACTGATTGTGTGCACATGGCTGATAAAGCCTAGGACTATAATCATGTCTCAATAATAAACCTAATTGCTATTTTCCTCTAGGTGTGAAACGTAGTCCCTCAGAGATGGCAGAAGGTGAAATTGATGTTGCCGATATCAATGGTTCATATAATATAAATAATCTGCGCTATTCAGAGGAAGATTTTGACAAGCTGGCAAAACTGAGTTACTACAATGTCCAGAATAATAAAGACTTGATTCTTCAGGCCTTGCGTATAGCTGTGGAACGGAAAAAACAACATAGAAATAGTCTCAAACCTCATACTCCTCTGTGATGATATATCTTTCTCTCCCATCATTGGGGAGGATCCCAGCATTCTACTGATTGTCCAGCATTATGGAATATGAAAAATATCCATCTGTTGATATTACTGAAGAAAAAAGGAACGGAAACAGAAAGTGATGGAAATCCAAAGAATGCTAAAAATGGCATTCAATCTATAATAGGAAAAACTAGTATCTCCCTGTCAGAAATGGGAATGAATAAATTATGGAAGAGCTTTCCTCTTTATGTTTATGTGCTTCCCTTGTTAACACTCTCAGCAGTGTGGCCAAGTACTGAATTGATGCTGAGGCTGAACTATGCTGTCACTTCTAGAAGTGATCTGCCTCAACCTTGACTTGGAAAGACTGGCAAGGAAATATGAAGTAGCTTGCATTGTCATTGTTTGTGTTGTATCTATTCTGTCAATTAAGAGAGGACTTCCACGACCAGGACTGCCAGTCCAGAACTTTTAAAGAGAACAAAATCAATTTTTAAATAAAATAATTAACATACTAAGCTTTCTATACAAATATATATAAATATGAAGTAAAATTTTGCATAATAAAATGTGGTTTTGGATTCTGAGTGGTAAAAATGAGATTTTTTAAAAAAACAACGTCCTCTTCTATTAGCAGAACTATTAATGCAAATGATTGATTCTGTATTCACAACCAGCAAAGGGTCTGGCGTAGAGATGATGCAAGCACCAGAGTTCAGCATTGGAACTGAATGTGAACTTTCCTAGTGTTTTAGACAGTTTGAATTTGGGATTCCAGTTTAGGTTCATCTCGAGTAAGACAATCCCACACACACACATTTCCTAAGGAGAAATTAATTTTGTAGAAACATAGCAGAGGTTTAGTTTTTAAGTCTGTTATTGTGCCTACAAACTTGATTTTAATTTAACAAACTTTTCGGGTGTGGGAACATCCTTAATTATTTTTAAAAACAGTCCTAAATTCTGTTGCAAAGGCTCCCTGTTCCTACAAACCCTACCAGTCCTACAAGAGAGGAAGCCCAATTCAGCAGACTTTAGGAGGTTCAGTGGTGAGTGGGGAATGGTTCCTTGGTCTGCTTGCTCACCCCAGTGCTAACCCAACATTCTGTGAAGGGAAGTCCTGATGCTACAGACTTCCCATGGTCTGCAAAAAGGAAGTCTGTCGTCTGCAAATTATGTTGGTCCTCAGAATCAGGGCTCTCACCCAAGGAGGGGATAACTGTGTCACTCTTCCTTTTGGCTTCATAGTGCCGGAAGGACTAGAATTCTACTGAGTGCAGGAAAGGGGGATGGGAAATGTGGCTAGGCAGGAAGCTTGATGAGCAGAACCAAGAGAAGAACCACTTCCCTAACCTTCCTGCTGCTTTTTAGACCCCATGAAGGGCTTACAGGGAGTGATAAGCTCCTTTCCCACATCTTGTGCAACTCCCTGAGTAACATTTTTTATGAGACACCAAGTAATAGTTTCCCTCTCAGGGACTCTGTGAATTTTAGAGGGGGGTAACAAAATAAAGCTTTATACTGGAAATCAGTTGCAACCTTAACTAAGGAGCATGTTAATGAAGTTTAATAGACATAAAAATGGAACCTCTTGAAGGCTACACACAGAGGTATCATACATGAGTAAGAAAACTCAGAACTATGTAAAAATGTGCTGATACAGTGCATGGTTAAAAGATGTGACTATCCCGGACTTCAGTAACATAAAGCATGATTCTGCAGACCCTTTCTCCCACATGTAATATCACTAACTTTGCCAGGATTATGTGCAGGCGCACGCCCTCTGCAGAAGGAATCTTCCTATGGTTGGGTCCACTGATAGACAACACAAAGCAGCCTGAATGTATCGGCGAATTGGCCCTGTGGTGTGTATGTGAGAGGTTGCCTTCTATTGGTTTGTTGCAACTTAGAAGCACCATAACGTTATTTTTATAGCTGCTATCTAGTGAGTTCTCAAGTAATACACAGATGTCGGCTGGAAGAAGTAATAGTGACTTCAATATGTTGACGTTCAACACCTTTGATGAGCAGTCATCAGAAATAAGAAACATGAAACCAAACTTAAGAAAGGGGAAACAAAACTTAAGAAATGGTATTTCCAAAAAAATGAGGAAGCCAATCAAAAAGACCCTAAAGCAAAAGTGAAGGACTTTAAAATACTTAGACTCAGCATGGAGGTTTCTTAAATACACCACAACAGAGTTACAAATGGCTTGCATAGGCTTAAACAAAACATGAAGCAGAAATGCAACCAAAACCAGAATGGTTAAAATACAAGAGGTTATTTGAGCCCAACAGCTATTCTTTGAGGGGAAGGGAGAGGAGAGGGAATCCAGTCCTACTGAAGCCAAAAAATGAGTGCATAAAATGTGGTATTCAATAAGCAAGATGGAAAGTAGGAGGTCTAACAGGGATGTTGAAAAGTAAATACCCACCAAATCTTGTTTGTAGCTATGTTGGACTATCAAGCAGTAATTAAGGAGGAGAAGGATGTTGCAGAGAAGTTTAATGACTTTGTATCAGCCTTCACCATGGAGGACATGCCCTCTAAAGCCAAATATGGACTTAGCTTCAGCAAGGTCTTGCCCATTCACCTGCATCCACCCCAAAGTTTTATATTCTAGATAGGCAGCAAGCCTATTTATTTATTTATTCCTTTTAGCTGATAAGTCTCTGTTCAATGCATTGAGATTTTTAAAAGCAATTAGGGAATTTAGGCACACATCTTCCATTAAAATATATTTTAAAATTAATGGAATGTGTCTAAATCGTATAGGTTGCTTTGAAAATCTCAGTGCATTGGACAGAGAGTTATCAGGTAAAAGGGATAAATAATAAGAAATGATCACTTTAAACTACACATATAATGTGATCACCTACATCTATTATACCAGTTCCACTGAAAAATGTCAATGTTAATACGGTATGAAATTTAGCTGTCTCTAGAAAGGAAGAAGATGCTCAGTCTGGGCTAGCTTGGCTTCAGTGAAACACATTACATTAGGTACAGACTTCTCAGATGATAATGGATGGCTATATCTGCTGTATCTAGAAGATAAACTTTTGGGAATTTAAGAGGAAAAATGGACAAAACTTTGCTGGTCCAGGTCCATAGCTGGATACCAGGGACCAGATTTTTATAGTGGAATAGGAGGAACACATCGTTTGTGACCACAACTTTGATGGATCTGGTGAGACCCAGGTACCAGATCTGTGTTGCTTTTGCACTGGATTGTGCTGAAGTCTGAAGTTTTTCTGGTCAAGTAGGAGTGGCAACATGTGTAGTTTATTTGGGATCAAAAACTGATAGGAGCTAGCAATTTCTAGGTGGTGGATGTGTGTGTGTCTTTACCCTGCTATTGAGGAGAGATACACAGGGGTCTGGATTTTTACAAGTAGAGCCAGCTGCCCTTCTTCTCTATTTAACTGGTAGAAGTTTGGTATGAAGAAATGAGGATGAGGGTGCTGACTGTTTTGTGGTGTTGCTCTGCCAGTTTCAACAGTGTTGGGCTAAAAGCTGGTGCAGTTTTTCTCTATTCAGACAGTAGAATTGGGGGAAATGAGGATAAAGAATTACCAAAATCAATCATGCTCTGGGGACCAGATACAAGTTTTTATAGTATTATTGGGCTAAAGTGCATCAGAATCCAGATTATTCCAGTGAAGTAGGAGGGGCTATGTTTGTTTTCTATTCAGGTTGCATAATTTGGAGCTTGGGCCGCAATTTGCGAGATCCATGTGGATCCAGGTGCTGGTTGTGGATTTTTGTAGATCTCCTGCAAGGATGCATTGGGGTCTAGGACTTTTTTTCCCCCAGTAGGATCGGCTAGATTTGTCCATTCATGCCACAGAATTTGGGACTAAGGCCCTAAATCTGATGGGTCTGGCAGGGTTCAGGTGCCAGATCTCAATGTCTGCGGCGGCTACGTGCCGGGAGACAGTCCAGGCCCACAATTTTTTGGCACAGTAGCGGAGTATAGACGGGGGAAGTCCTTAGCGGCGGGACTCAGCAGGGCGCGGGCACCAGGGGACGCCGGTGCCGGCTCTGGGGCTCCGTGTGGCTTCGTGCTCTGGGAACGTGCGGGGATGGGGCAGCGGTGACTCCACTTGATCGGCGTTGACGGGACACTCTGGGGACCTGGCGCCCCAAATCCCCAGGCCGAGGGTCATTCCGGCTTTTCCCAGCGGTGCGGGGCGAGAGGGTTGGGCCGGGCCGGGCAGGCTCCCAGTCCCGGGGGGCGGTGCTCGGGCCGGGCCCAGAGGGGAGGGGCCGGGCCGGTGGGGCGCTGCCGGCCGCCAGTCAGTCAGTCAGTCAGTCTGGGCGGCGCTGCGGGGTCGGGATGTTCAGCTGGATGGGGAAGCAGGCGGGCGGGGGCGAGCGGGCCGGCGACCCGGTGCAGACGGTGACCGGGGGGCTGAAGCAGCTGTACATGCGGCGGCTGCAGCCGCTCGAGGACTATTACCGCTTCCAGGACTTCCACTCGCCCGCGCTGGAGGAGGCCGACTTCGACAACAAGCCCATGGTGCTGCTGGTGGGGCAGTACAGCACGGGCAAGACCACCTTCATCCGGTAAATACCCCCCCGCCCTCCATTGCCAGCCTGCCTCCCCCCCCCGGTAAATACCGCCCCATTGCCAGCCTCCCCAGCCCCTGCCTCCTCCTTCCGCCCTCCCCCCCGGTAAATACCGCCCCATTGCCTGCCTACCTTCCGCCCTTCCTCCCTCCGGTAAATACTGCCCCATTGCCAGCCTGCCTGCCTTCCGCCCCCCCGGTAAATACCGCCCCATTGCCTGCCTACCTTCCGCCCCCCCCCCGGTAAATACCGCCCCATTGCCTGCCCCCTACCTTCCTGCCCTTCCTCCCTCCGGTAAATACTGCCCCATTGCCAGCCTGCCTGCCTTCCGCCCCCCGGTAAATACCGCCCCATTGCCTGCCTACCTTCCGCCCTTCCTCCCTCCGGTAAATACCGCCCCATTGCCAGCCTGCCTGCCTTCCGCCCCCCCGGTAAATACCGCCCCATTGCCTGCCTACCTACCTTCCGCCCTTCCTCCCTCCGGTAAATACCGCCCCATTGCCAGCCTGCCTGCCTCGCGCCTTCACTCGGTAAATCCCCCCCGCCGCCGTTCCTCCCTCCGGTAAATACTGCCTCATTGCCTGCCTGCCTGCCTTCCTTCCGCCTTCACTTGGTAAATACCACCCCACTGCCCATCCTTCCTTTCTCCCTCCCAGCAGTAAATACCGCCCTATTGCGAGCCTGCCTTCCTTCCTCCCGCCTTCATCCAGTAAATACGCCCCCACTGCCCACCTTCAGTTGGTAAATACCCCCCTGCCGCCCTTCCTTCCTCCCTCTCTCTGGTAAATACCACCCCATTGCCGGCCTGACTTCCTCCCGCCTTCATCTGGTAAAGACCCCCCTCCAGTGTTCGTCTTCATCCGGCAAATACCCCCGGCCCCCCGCCACTGCCCACCTAAGTGAAAATTCCTTGCCTCAGTCCAGTAGCGGTCCCTTGATACACCCCTTCATTTATAAATAACCCCATTGAGGGTAAACGTCCCCTTTCCTTCCTCATTTGGTAAATACCCCCCACAGGGGTAAATACCTTCCACTGTATACCCACGGGAACAACATAGAAACATAGCCCACCACCAGTGTAGTTGCCCCCTGTGCCTGAGCTTCATGCTGTAAAGACTTCAGCATCTGGGTTAAATACCCCCTTGGCCCTCCTGCCAGCACACAGTTTCATACAGTAAATACCCCCTAACTACCTACTCTTGCATGCACTGTGGTCATGCCCCCTGTCACTTTCCTTTCATACAGTATCTATTTCACACCTACACTGAATGATTGGTTCCCTGCCCCTTCATCTTCATATGATAAATACTCCTCACCTGTCATTTCCACCCTCACCTGGTAAATACCGCGTTGGCCCTGCTGCCTATCTGTTAAATAATCCTCCATCTGCCCCCTGCACTTGGATAAAAAATACCCTTTCATGTGGTATTTTTCATGTGGGTGAACAAACCTACCATTTTCATACAGTAACACACTTATTATCCTTGAACAGTAACACACCTCTAGAGTAAATGCGGGGTGGAAAGTTGAGAGGCCTGTCACTCAAATGAAGACAATAACCTTGATGGCTGACGCAGAACAAGCTCCAAGATGTGGCTTGTGTTATCATGAAAGGGCAAGTGAAAACATCTCCACTGGGTGGACAGGTGGAACCAGTTTGCTTGGATGGGGGCAGGGCTGAAAAATGTGGAGTATGTAGAAAAGTGCATACACATGGTTTGAAAGTACTTTAAAAGAAAATAAAAACGTAACATGTATTAACTACCTGTTCCATCTTAAAGCCACAAAGCAAGTAGCATTGGTGTATTGAGTGAGGCAGGACCTTTTGTCTGTTGACATGCAAATTAACTAATCAGTCTAAACCAGGGGTGGGCAAACTTTTGGCCCGAGGGCCACATCTAGGTGGGGAAATTGTATGTAGGGCCCTGAATGTAGGGCTGGGGCAGGGGGTTGGAGTGTGGGAGGGAATGTGGCGTGTGGGAGGGGGTGCGGTGTGCAGGAAGGGGCTAAAGACAAGCGGTGTGGGGCGTAGGAGGGGTGTGGCAGGGGGTTGGAGTGCAGGGGGGGTACGGAGTGCAGGAGGGGTCTCAAGGCAGGGGGTTGGGGTGCAGGAGGTGTTCAGGGTGCGGGCTCCGGCCTGGTGCCGCTTACCTCGAGCGGCTCCGGGGTGGCAGTGGCGCGCGGGGCTAAGGCAGGCTTCCTGCCTGCCTTGGCCCCACGCTGCTTCCAGAAGTGGCCAGAATGTCCGGCAATGGCTCCTGAGGGTGGAGTGGGGCAGGCAGTTCTGCTGCACGTTGCCCTTGCTTGTGGGTACCACCTCTGAAGCTCCCATGGGCCTCGGTTCCCCATTCCTGGCCAATGGGAGCTGCGGGGGGCAGTGCCTCCAGGCGAGGGCAGCGCACGGAGCCCTCTGCGCCCCCCCCCCCTTCACCTCCCCAGGGGCTGCAGGGATGTAGTGCCGGCCTTAGCCCCGCTGTGCCAAGGGGCTGGCAATCCCATGGGCCGGATTGAAAAACCTGACTGGCTGTATCCAGCCTGCTGGCCATAGTTTGCCCTCCCCTGGTAAGCCTTTTGTTGTGTTATCACTGTATTGGAGAGTAAAGCTTTTCTAAATGTCTGCAAAATATGATATTTAAGTTTGATGTATATTTCTGAATTTTTACAGCACTCTGTCATTTTGTTTTTGCCTTCCTGTTTAAGGACGCTGTCTCATGGTTTTTTGTACTGATGGGAAGGAATATGTGTTGTTTTCCATTTACTGTAATGTTTTTCTAGTTTGTTTCAATAGACAGTAGTTACTGAGAGTTAATATAGTGTGCATCAGCAGTCAAGTGTAAAAAACCTAAAAGCTGTCCAGCCCATAGTGCTAGTTTTGGTGTTGCATTCACATGCAAGATCCAGATTTGCGAGTGACTCTGGAACTTCTGTTTCTGTGGCTGATAGATTTCAGACCCCTCAGAAAGGTAGCACATGTACATTAAGTTGTATGTAGGCATATGCCACTCTGCTCTTTCTTGAGTTTAGTATAAGTAAGATTGCACCTGGGTAGGAGGTAAGATCTTTTAGAAGTGGTAGTTTTATGAAATATAGTTCCGTGGAGATAGCGAACTTCGAAGGAAATGGGACCCAACAATTCTATATCAGTGATCACTATGATGTCTTGCTCAGGACACCCAGAACTCTGAGCAACTGTGTCACACCTCTGCCTTAGCAAGAGTGAGAGCTTTGCCACTGCTAAGCTGTTTGTCAGTTTCCTGACACACCAGCCTGTCTGTCTTTCCAACAAACTCATCAAAACTCTACCAGTGTAAACTTTCAGGAAGCAATCAGTGAAGCCCAGTTCCTGACTTCTCCGGAGACATCTCCCTGCAGTGTCCAGTCCCTCTGACTGGACAGTCTCAGAAATTGTTTGGTGTCTCCAAAGAGAGAGTGCACACATCAGACTGTAGGTTAGCTGAAAACTCACCCTTCACTTTCATACACCGTACTGAGATAGTTTTGTAATAAAACAAGAATAAGTTTATTAACAAAGAAGAGAGATTTTACTGACAATAAACAAGAGAAAAAGAGATAGATATGGTTGCAAATAAAACAACACATTTTCTTGTGACTAAAACTTAATCTTAGCGATCTTTGCCTAAGCGGTTTTCTTACATCAAGTTGTCAGCATCTCCCCAGGCTAAGAGAATGCAACTTTCACATGCTCACAAGGTGCTGTCCCCTAAGTGATGGGTAACTAAAATATCTTTTTGCTCCCCTTTTATTACTCAGAGTCCATTGTCTCTGCCTCAAGAACCAGGAAGGCTTCCTGGGGTGCAGATTCTGTCCCATGCTGTGATGGTTCAGTGGTCTTCTCCCTTGCTCATTTAGCTTGATGGCTTTGTTTACATTATATGTAAATGTACTTCCATTGTCCTCTGCCTGTAACCAAGTTGGTCAGACATATATAATTATATATATTGCAATATATATGTGTAGAGAGAGAGTATATAATCTGTACATATATCACACAATGGCTTTCAGGACTAGTGTGTCACCAGTACACGCAGTGCACCTTTGAGATATATATATGGCCATACCAAATTCACAGTCCATTTTGGTCAATTTCACAGTCATAGGATTTTAAAAATTGTAAATTTCATGATTTCAGCTATTTAAATCTGAAATTTCATGGTGTTGTAATTGTAGGGGACCTGACCCAAAAAGGAGTTGTGGGGGGGGGTCGCAAAGATTATTGTGGGGATGCTGCTACCTTTACTTCTGCGCTGCTGCTGCTGGCAGTGGTGCTGCCTTCAGAGCTGGGCAGCTGGAGAGCAGCATCTGCTGACCAGGAGCCCAGCTCTGAAGGCAGAACCACTGCCAGCAGCAGCGCAGAAGTAAGAATGGCATGGTATGGTGTTGCCACCCTTACTTCTGCATTGCCGCCTGCAGAGCTGGGCCTTCAGTCAGCTGCTGCCACTCTCCAACTGCCCAGCGTTGAAGGCAGCAATGCAGAAGTAAGGGTGGCATGGTATGGTATTGCCACCCTTACTTTTGTGCTGCTGCTGGTGTGGTGCCGCCTTCAGAGCTGGGTGCCCAGCCAACAGCCTCCGCTCTCCATCCACCAGCTGCCACTCTCCGGACACCCAGCTCTGAAGGCAGCGCAGAACTAAAGGTGGCAATACTGTGGCCCCCCTAAAATAACCTTGTGACCCCCCCTGAAAGTCCCTTTTTGGTCAGGACCCCCAATTTGAGAAACTCTGGTCTCCCCCATGAAATCTGTGTAGTATAATGTAAAAGCACCCAAAAGACCAGATTTCACGGGAGACCAGATTTCACGGTCCATGACACGTTTTTCATGGCCATGAATTTGGTAGGGCTCTAGATCAGTGGTTCCCAAACTGGGGTTCACAAAATGTTACAGGGGGTTCTTGGGGAAAAATTTCCTAATGGCGGACTGAGCTGTCCATAGGGACCCCGGGCAGTACGGGGCCGGCAGGCCCTTGGGGACTTCCAAG